ATATACATAAGTATATTATTAGTAATCTTAAGTATATATAAATAAAATTAGAGTGTCTGAAGGCTTTAAATAATGGTATATAATATGATTAAAATGATGAGACACAATTAGTATGCTATAAGTATAAAAATGTGTAAGAACAAAGTTGTAAAAAAAAATTAAAATAGAATTTTATCTGAAAAAAGTATTTAAAAGTACTTATATCTTAATTATATTTTACAAATACAATAAAAAGTTTTGATAAAAATATGTGCAATTAAATGATAATTACAAAAATTGGCAATGTCAGGACTCATGATGATACAACATATAGATGTCAATATGTAAACCTATATCAATTTCTGACTAACTATTTTACCATTATGGATTAAAAATTAATTCGAGAAATATTAATATTCTTAGTGTTCTACACATTATTAACAATATACAGAGGCTCTCACTACACCTTCTGGAGTTACATTTATATTGTGAGAATGTATTATTATTATACCAACCTTACTTTGGTATGCCAGTCCCTTTTCAAATAATTTCAAAAATATGTATTGTGTCCATTTATAGTACTGAGGCTCACATGTGGATATTTCTCGACTCCAATCAAAATTTAAGCCTAATTGCAGCAGTTGTTTCCTCATTGAATTGATATTTGCATTTGTCCACTTATGAGGTGCAATATTACGTTCTATGGCTGCATTTTCAGCTGGTAAACCAAAAGCATCCCAACCAATCGGATGAATAACATTTTTACCATTCAGTGCATAAAATCTAGCAATTGTATCTGATATTGAATAAACTCTTACATGTCCCATGTGCAAATTTCCAGATGGATAGGGGAACATTGGTAATATGTAATAACAATTGTGTACATCATTATTATTATTATTAAATACAATCTTAGACCAGTGTCTTTCAATTTTTAGTTTAATTTCTGTAGATATATCCTGTTGCTGTAAATATAAGTACAATTTAATATTTAGACTAAACAGAAATCCTACGTTGTGTCATGAATTTACGGACTATGAAGTTGTAACCTCACCCATAGGCATAAACTGCTTCGTTTTCTAATTGATGACTTTGTAATTGGTATTAATGTAAAACATTTTGAATTTATAACTCTTACTCTTTTAATTAAAGACATTTTAATATCAATACTGGTCTAAAGCTATATATAAATGATAGTACAGTATTTTTTTATATTCATTGAGGAGAGTTGTAAATATTTAAACATTATTTATACAAGTTATTATGTAAAGAGTTCTTATATAGCTTCCAACCGCAAAGTTATTATGTAAAGAGTTCTTATATAGCTTCCAACCGCAAAGTTTTAAGCAAATAATATATATATATATATATATATACTACTCAATCAAGAGGTTATAGCAAAGAATATACTACTCAAGAGGGTTATAGGAAATATATAGCCCAAGTTGAAATTAAAGATCAAAAATGTAAACATAGAAAAGTCATTGTCAAAGTGACATTCAATGGTATTTTTCTGTCTTGTTAAACCTTGGAGTTAAACATTTCATGATTATAGTTTAGTCAAAATTTCCATAAATACGTTTCATTATTAATTCAATATAATAATAATAATAATTAAAAATAACATTAAATTACTTTCCTGTAAGTTTGTCAACTTATGTTAACTTACCCCGAACATTAATTAATTTTGAAACATATTTTTTTTCTTATTCCTTCACTCAATCCGGGATACCTTTTTAAATATTATAACAGTTTGACCTCTCAAAGGTACCATTTTTATTATTCTTAACTAGTTATTAAGTGCTCAAAATCCAATTTCAATTAAGTGATTCCATACTTTTTTTTTTTTTTCTTTGGCAAGAGGCTAGTGTTTCCTATTATGCCACTAAAAACAGGAAACGAGACGGGATAATGGAAAGGAACGGGTTCATTTTTGAATATACTCGGAATTAGTGATCATGGGTTTTAAAGTTTAATGTTGTTATGGGAAATAAAAGACGCAAGAGATTTATAAATTATAGGACTAGGATGAGCTAATAGGCATACAATGGATGAAGGAAAAGGAATTTCTAATGAGATGAGTGTCTCTATAAATGAAGAACGATCGTAAGAGGAGCAGGAAAACACAACATGATTTAGATCACCCACATCTTCTCGACATTCACAGATATTATTGTCTTTTATACGTAGTTTTGTTAAATGTTCAGGGCTGCAAACATGACCAATTCGCATACGAATCAAAACACTAGTTGATCTTTTATCAAGATGTAATTTGAAAACCCACGGTTTAAGAGGTATAAACGGTTGGACTAAACAGTACTGTTTCCCTTTAATTTTGCTACTTATTGTCCAATCTTGACTCCATGAGTCATGAAGACAAGATTTAGACAAGGCAGTCAGATCATGGCAAAAGTTTTTATAAGGAAAAAGATCTCCAGATAATATAGCTTCATTCGCAAGCAAATCTGCTTTTTCGTTGCCCCGAATGCCACAGTGAAAAGGAATCCAAACGAAAGATACAATATGTCCTTTGAGACGAATGCTATTCAACATATCTCGGATATAAAAAATTAGAGAATACTGTTTAGATGATTTGAATGGACATTTAATTAGAGCTTGAAGAGCACTTTTAGAGTCCGTAAATAAAACAGTTTGCTTAAGATTAAAAATTTTAATATATTCTACTGCTTTAAAAATTCCATAGCATTCACCAGTAAAAACAGAGGTCTCTGGTGGAAATTTAATTTTCTAAATTATATGAAATTGTGAGTGATAAATTCCTACACCAACATTTCCTGTATGTGTGTTCCGATACGTCACAATAAATTTGATGATGGCTTTCCCATTTAGAGTTTACTACTTGATTAAACTTTGCATTTACATTAGGATGTTCTTTTTCTATGTTAATATCAAAATGAACGTCAGGGGTAAAAGTGTGAGGGTTTTTGGGTAAAACAGCATCTAAGTTGAATATAATTTTTATTTGATATATGTCTACAAAAGCAATCTGATAGGAATAATAGAAGACAGGAAACAAAGCAATATCGTTGACATATAACTTTCCATCGAGTGTATCGTGCCAGTACTGACACTCCTCTTCACGGTGTATGTCGTGGTTATGTTAACCCCAAGCTTCTTCTCAATGTCTCCAGTCGCGGTCCAGCTAAAGCCTTTGTTAACATGTCTGCTTCCATTTCATCAGTAAGTAGATATTTGACTACAATTGTACCGTCTTCTATACAGTCTCTGATAAAATGTAGCTTTAAATCAATGTGCTTTGACTTTGAAGTCACCATAGCATTTTGGCTAAGTTTGAGGGCGGCTTGATTGTCGTTAAAAATTGTTATGTTATTATAGTTTGTACCGAGATCTTTATATGTACCCTTTAGATGAATAGCTTCCTTCGCAGCTTCGGTCAGGGCTGTATATTCCGCCTCTGCTGTAGACAAAGCGACACTCCTCTGCTTCTTAGACATCCAGCTTATGGCTGTCCCAGCATACTTGAAACAGTAACCTGAAAAAGATTTTCTATCAATCTTACATGCGCCCCAATCTGCGTCCGCCATACCATATAAATCTTCTCCAGTTTTTCTAAAAGTTAGGCCGACGTTTTTTGTCTTTTTCAAATAACGCATTACTCTTTTAGCGCTCTTGAAATGCTCCTCTCCATAACAATCATTAAACTGGGATAAGTAGCTAATAGCAAACATGATATCGGGACGAGTAGCTACTGCCAAGTACATAAAGGAACCTATTAAATTTTTATATGGGATATTTTTCTTTTCATATTCTTCTGCCTTTTGTAGTATAAAGCCTGGCTCCATGGGTGTCGATACAGGCTTACAATCTTCCATTTTGTATGTTCTGAGAACATCTTCAATAAATCTTTCTTGGTTTAATTTTATTGTATTATTTTCATAAGTTATATCTATACCAATCAGCCGTTTCGGCTGACATAAATCTTTGAGTTCGAATTTTAAATTTAAAAGGTCTTTATTGTCTTTAACTTCTTTTAGTATAACGGGACTTGAGTAAGCGATTAATAAATCATCGACATAAATAGCAATGATTATTTTTTCTCCTCTTTTCTCCTGTATGTATAGACAGGGATCGGCATTTGATGATTTAAACCCTACATTTTTCAATTCCATGTCGAGTTTTTTATGCCATTGCCTCCCCTCTTGCTTAAGTCCATATAGAGCTTTAATAAGACGACAAACTTTCCCTTTTGGTATGTTTTTTATGTCCATTAACATATTCATTGTTTTATTGTATAAAGTCAGATCATCTTTTTCACTCTCATTAACCAGTATTTCTGTTAAGTACTCTTCTAAATAGTCAGGATATTTCATTATAATATATTCTTCTAGTTCACCATTTAGGTAGGCTGTGGTTACGTCCATTTGGTTTAACTTTAGACCTTGTTCCATAGCTATTCCGATAACCGATCTGATTGAACTTAATTTTGCGACGGGTGCATACGTTTCATTGTAATCAACGCCTGGTCGTTGAGTGAAGCCCCGTGCTACAAGTCTGGCTTTTCTACTAATTTTATTATCTGGCCCAATTTTATTTCTTAAAACCATTTTGTAATCTACTTCATTCATGTTCTCTTTCTTTTCCTCTATTTTCCAGGTTTCATTCTTAACATATGCTCTAATTTCAGCTTTTATCGTATCATGCCAGTATTCATCAGTTTCACTTCCATCATTCAAATAAGAAAATTCAGAGAATAGTATACTTTCATTCGTTTCATTTAATGTGTAATCCTTGGTCCACTCCGGGGGCCGGCGGCCTCCCATTCACAGGTCTTTCTACAGTTCCTGTTGTTTCATCGTGAGAATCTACATTTTCTGTTAAATCGGTGTGATCCGGATTATTTGAACTTTGTAAATAATTTTTATTCTCTGTAAATTCAATTTCTATTTGTTGTGTATTTAAATTATTATTTTTCTTATACATGTTGTCTCTTATTTGACATTCTGTTGTAGGAGTTTGTGAAATTTGTTCGTCATCGTTCAAAAGGTTATTATAATTTTCAACACTTTCTTCATAATACATTTTATTTATTATTTTTACATCTCTGCTAGTTACCACATCATTATCTTTAGGTATATATACTCTATAGGCTTTGCTGGTCAAGGAGTACCCTACAAACACAGCCTGAGTCAATTTTCCTCGTCTATTCTTTTTTAAGACGAAGGTCATCCTGCCAAAGATGTTGAGATGAGTGCTAGAAGGTGTCTTACCTAACCATTTCCTAAATGGTATATCACCTTTTAATGATTTAGAGGGGCTACGATTAATCAGGTAATTTGCAGTAGATATGGCCTCTGCCCAAAGTTTCATAGGTACTTTTGATTCAATCATTAGGCACCTGGCTTTGTCCAATAACGATCTATTTTTTCTCTCGCTAATTCCATTTTGTTGTGGAGTATAAACAGTTGTTAGCCTCCTTTGGATACCATGCGATTTAAGGAAATCGTCAAACTCTTTGTTGCAATATTCAGTACCGTTGTCTGACTGTAAATATTTTATACTTTTATTATGAAATGTTTCAACTTCGCTTTTATATTGTTTGAAAATTTGTAATACGTCACTTTTCCTTTTTATAAAATAGACATGACAGTATCGAGTATTGTCGTCTGTGAAAGTGACATAATATTTTGAACCTGCCAATGTTTCGTGTTCGAATGGTTGTTGTATATAATTCGTCATATCGATTGAATGGTTGTCTCGTCAATTTTCCTTTTATGCAGGTCTCACATGTTTCTAACTTTTGGTCAGATAAATTTAAACCATACATTAGGTGATTTTTAGCCATTGTATTTAAATCTTTTTCGTTTACATGGCCGAGTTTGCGATGCCATTCCATGACGTCTGTGCTTATTTTTGGTGTGTAATGCGCAGTCTCGTTCTTGTCAAATTCGATGTAATACAGCTCATTTCTTCTTTGCGCTGTAATTGCCACCTCGCCGCTTTTCTCAATGACGTAGGCTTTGTCTTTTTCAAAAACGACTTTATTTCCTCTGTCAGTTATCTTACTTACTGACAATAGATTTATTGATACATCCGGAACATACAATGTGTTATTCAAATTGTAACCTTGATTATTTGAATTTACGGTTACTATTCCTTTACCTTGAATTCCACTGCTGTGCTTACTTGACGCTAATCTTAATGTGCCGCTGTCTGGAGTCAATTTAGAAAAAAATGATTTATTGTTGCAAATATGAGATGAACAGCCGCTGTCCAGGCACCATGTATTTTTACTAGTGTCTTGTTCTACGGTG